CTGCACAACTCAAAGAGCTTACCGGTCTGCTTTGTGCTGCAGGATCGCCATCGGCTGTGCCTCCGCGGAACGGGTGTGCAGCAATGTGCAGCTACTCGGCATGTTTGTTTGGAGCCTGTGCCATGCTGTGTGGTGTTCCCATTCCATGAAGTTATGCCGCAATGCCACATGAGTGTCCGCTGCATGCTTTTGGCAACTGGCCAGCGAAGGGCAAACATGTCGTGTGTCTAAGCCCAAAAGGGTTCAACTAGTGCGGTGCATTTTGCCAGAGGCTCTGCAACGCTGACTACCGACATGATGCAGAACTTGCAATGGCATGCGAAGGCATACGTTGCATTTATCTGCAGCAGCTCAGCAGTAGCCGAGTTGCCGCTGTTCAGGCCCAGTATGATGACTGGCGCAGGCCCTCTGAAGTTTTTCTGCCTTGACACAACATCTTTTCGCCAACTCTTCGAGCTAGGGCTGAAATGCCTGTGACCCGAGGCAGGTGCTGCTATGTGCTCGTCATCTGACTACGCACATTAGCCGCTTCGAGACGGACCCGCACGTCGGTGCTGGCAAAGGGTTACCCTTTTAACTGCGAGTGGGAACACTGCTTGGCCATTTGGGATGCTTGCCGACCAATCGTTGGTCCGGCCTCAGCGAAACAGCATAAGCCGAGCATTTCGCATTCGAAGCAACCAACCTGCCACCAATCGCTCGTTTTTAGTCGTTTTCGTGAATGCTTATGCATAAGGAAGTACCTTTATGCACGGGCTTGCCTCAGGCAGAAGTGCAAGGTGAATTGCCCCCTGTGTGGTGATTCCAAATTATCACGTTGGCGTTTTGACGACATACTAGCTACTAGTTGCAACATGTGGCAACTCAACCTCGCCCTCCTGATCATGGTCGACGCCTGAAGACCAGCTGTGTAGACCGTGAGCTGAGCAAGAGAAGCTTCGACAGCGCGCACCAGTCGCCCGTTTCATGAGCTTTGGTTTGTAGACACTGTAGTCTGTAGGCATGACAGTCACCAAGGCTATGTCTGAACCAACATTGATCGCGACCGCAGGTATTCAGGGTCTTGGTGATGTCATGTTGACATAACTGATGGCCAGCAGCACCCTGCTTATGGTTCTTCCTGAAACAACATGGGCCGCACATTTTCGGCGAGACCGAGGGGGTCCTAGGAGCAGAGCTGCGTGCGCGACAGCACCCATCAAGAACCACAGAACGGCCACCTGAAGAACACGTCTGTCAACATTCCTCGCTGTGTCAAGGCACAGCACGTACTTTCGCGGGTGCGGCATCTGCATATGTTCGGGCACGGGCTGTAGTGCTGCATTAATAACACAAGGATCAAGTAGCAGACGAACAACTCGTGTCACCGACAACTGCTACTGAGTCGAAGCTGTGAGGGGGTCTGAAACAGCACGCATGTGAGGTTGCACTGGATTGGGAAGGGATTTGGCTCCAGACAGCGGCCAGGGACACGACTTTGCACGCGTCAGGGCTCGAGCATTGTGGCAACAGCTCTGCGAGCCTGCCTTTGCAAGATGGGAACGGTTTAGAGGCATGCCAGGAATGCTCGCTGCTGTGTTCCATGTATTTCTCATTGCAGGGCTTGGAGATAAGCTTCAGCTTCCGGACCTGGGTCGGGGAACCAAGATTGGAGCCTTGTACGATGTACTGGAAGGCAACTTCTTGGACGTGCCTTTGTGGCCATACGACGTGATTGCTGATCCTGAAATTTTTCGGACGACACCAGCACAGTTTTCGAGTCTGTTGTTTTCCCACAGCGAGGAGTTGCAGGACCGGGCTCGGCTGCAAAACGTGAACGCCGAGGTAACCGCGGGCATAGCCGGTGGCTTTCTCTCCTTGTCCGGGTCTGTAGAGATATTGAAGCACAGCCGACACACACGGTATACCGCTGAGGTTGTTGCCAACTACCGCGTAGAAACCCGCCGAACCTCGATCAACATACACGATCCCAGGCTCTGTGCAAGCGAGCTGCGAGTGCAAGACTATCCGGGTCTGAGTCGTGCCACGCATGTGGTAACCGCCATCCTTTACGGAGGGGACTGTGGAGCCATTTTCAGTGCTGAGTCACAGGACATGTACGACAAGTCTGTCGAGATCAAGAAAATTCGAGCAAAGCTTGATGTAGGCTTTCTTTCTACATCCAAGACACTTGTGGATGAGGAGGAGAGCTCCGAATCAAGCATGTCCTCGGACAAGATAAGGGTGCAGATCTATGGGGACTTGCTGCCAGACAACAACATGCCAACTAACGTGTCTGCAGCCATCACCTACATGTCTGCATTGCCTAGCAAGATCAGCGGTGAAGGTGATGTACCAAAGCAACTACATCTAACGCCGCTCGCAGAGCTTCCTCCTTGCAGAGATGGGGCAACCGCGAAAGGAAGGCGACTCAGAGACCTCAACCCTCAGCCCCCCAAGCATGAGGTCCCTGCCGGCTTCGTTACTGCAACATTGGCTTTGCTTTCAGACATGGACACCTCTCTGCAATGCCTGAATGAACTACTGCTTGAGCCACATCACGGCTTCCTATCCTTGACGCGAGCTGCAAACTGTCAGATTGCGAAGCTTCGGGCGTATAGGACACATTTTGGAGGACAGCTGAAAGCAGCGATGCAGGCCTATCGTAGTGCAGGTGATCTACAAGAACTGGATCGGTTCATCAGACAACATCAGGATAGTGGGTACAGTTTGCAAGATTTGGATCGCGCTTGCAGCGAGCTACGGACGCAGTTCTCCACCGCGGATTTCCTGGCAAGTTCGATGATGGTGGCCAACTTGACCCTTTCAAGCCATCTATCAGGCCTCCTGGGTCCATCCCTGGATCCAACCGTTGAGATGTCTTACATGCTTATATTTGTTGGTGCGCCGGATGCTGCGCAGAACAGGGAATCGCTGCAAGTACTAGCTGACTTTGTCAACTTCGCAGAGAGGACATCACAGGCAGCCACGTGCGGTGATGATAAGCTCTGCCATGAATCCACAAGCTTCACAGCGATCCAGTTTGACAGTTTCTGCTTGAGTTTTTGCCGTCCCGAGCTGTGCCGGCGGTGGCTTGGAGACTGTGCGCAAGAGGAGGCTGCGAGTCGGAACCCCTTGAAGAAGCACAGTGCTTTTGGCCCCCTGCTTGCCTCCTGGTGCGAAGCACCACAGACTAGTGTGGTCGTGTCGGTCCGAAACCTGGAGCCCGAGCTTGTTCCCTTTGCGAGGATCCGAGTTCCGATGACACGTCAGCTCGCAGACCTGAGTGTCCGCGGCGACCGGATTGAGCTCCACTTCCGTGAGGAGCCAGATGAGCCGTGGGTTTTGCACCGCGTCCTGCGCATATCATGGGAAGAAGCAAAGCACACCGAGAAGGGATTGCAACGTTCAACGCATCAGCAGGACTACGAGATGCATGGCTTGGAGCCTACAGTTCGTGTGACATTAAGAGTGGGTCGGTCTTATTCTTTCCAAGTTGCTGCAGTGAATAGCGTAGGTACTGGGGGATTCTCGAACCGGATGTCAGACAGAGCTGCTTCCGCAGAAAGACGGCTACAAGGAACGAATGGATTTCGTATGCCTGTTCCGGTAGTTGGGCCGCATTCTGCCGGGGATGCACTTTCACTTCCATCTCGGCAGCAAAATCGTGCTCCGAATTGGCGGTGCTTCCCAGTCGCCATCGCATTGTCAGCCGATGCAGTCGAAGAAATTGCTGAGGTGAGGTTTTATGATCCAGAGGGCTTGCGCGAGAACTTCAGCTGTTTTTCAAGTGCTGCATCGCTTGATCTGATCCACTGTCACATTCCTCAGCGGGCAGCTTCTCAAGATGTTACTTGGCACTTTGATGTCTTCGGTGTGGTGAAGCAGATTGCAGAGCCAGGCGTGCTGCTACACGAGGCGCCCAGCATTGAATCATGCCGACGCTGGGACGAGGCTTTGTACTGTGACTCCATACCTCCTGCCTGTGTGCCGGATTGCTATGTGTGCGCCACCCGCACTCATGCAACAGCTGCACCGAATTGCAGCCAAACGGTTTTGAACTCTTCTTGGAGTTCGGCACCTCCAAGTCCGAGTGCGGGCTTGAACTCGAGTGGCTCGAGTGCAGAAGGAAACAATGTGCAGACGCTTGGACCCCGGTTGTTCATTTACTCAGCGGTGCCTGTTTCCTCCCCATCTCTACTGTATTTGGGTTCCATGAGATCCTGACATGCGGTTAAGTGCATTCTTACCTGCCTGCGGATGGGTTTGCAGAAAGCTGAGGAATGAGGAAGTGTGTCCCACAGGTTACGTGGAGCCTCCACGCGAAGTGGGTGCCTTGCCTGCCAGCCGCATCGTGGCCATTTGGCTGAGAAGCCTCGATACAGAGCACGCCACGCAAAGTACAGCGCCAGTCTCCAGCTCGACTTCGACGACAGTGCCAGTCTCCAGCTCGACTTCGATGACATCAACTGCTACCCGCAGCACCACAGTGCATGAGGGCAGCGAATCCACAAGTATGAGCAGCTCCAGCTCTGGTCCAACAAAGACCTTGACTGTGACATTTACGTCGCCTGCTGCAACCATGCCAAGTTCCACGGCAAGTTTCACTAGCAGCACCAGCAGTACTTCGATGAGCAAGGACTCGTTTGCCACCACGACCAGTCCTATCGTGACAACAAGTACAACAGAAGGGAACGACACTGAGAGCGACAATGAGAGTAATGACAGCGCGATAGTTGATCGAGCTAGTGGGCCGCTGGCCCGGCCTTTACTGGTGCTGGCTGCGTGCAGCTTGAGCTCTACAGCTTAGGCCCGGCAAGTTGTTCATGGCTCCTTTCCCTAGCCAGGTTGCAGAAGTTGCTGGCGGTGTGAAAATGCATGAGCAGCCCAGGAGAATCGCTGTGAGCACCTGCTAAGGGATGCAGCATGGGCACTTCGAAGCAGATGCATTCGCAGACCACCTTTGCCTCAAAGGATTGTTTTCTGTCCTGCTAGGATCGGCCAGGCTTAAAAGAGAAGCCATGCCGTACCGTTTCCTTGCCTTCTCGTTGTGTCTCCAGCTGGGAACAGCCAGCGCTGAGAAGGATCTTTCCGACGAGTCCATCAACGCCAATGATCTGGGGCGGCGCTTTTGGCTTGGTGAGCTCTATGACGCCAACACAGATGAGCCCATTGGTGGGTCTTTGTGGCCACTCAGCATGCTCGACGATCCGCGCTTCGTGCGGGAGACCCCTGCAGCGAGTTCAAGCTACGGATTGACTTATTCGGATAGCATCAAAGAGAAGATGGACCTTCTTGGCATAGACGGCTCCTTTGGTTTTGAAAGAGCCGTTGGCTTGACGAAAATGGCACTTTCGGGCTCTGCAAAGTACTTGGAGTCGAAAGCTGACAGCAACTTGGAAGCCGCCACCTCAGTGCTGCAAAGCCCGGAAACATGCAGTGATGGATGAGCTTGTGCTTTGACTGTACGTTGTATTAGCTCCCCAGCTTGCACAATCTTGTCTCGGCGGCTGTGCGCGGGCTCATATCCAAATCTGCCTGCCCGAGGTCTCAAGCTACCTGCACATGAAGGTGACGACAGTCCGGAAAACGCTGAATGCTTTGGACCCGGAGCTTCAGGCTATGCGTTTCGATTTCATCCCACCGCAGGCAACACACTTCGTAAGCAGCATCAAGTATGGGGCTGGCTGCAGCGCCAGATTTACGCAGAAAGCCAGGAGCGAAGAAGAGAAGGAGCTGATCCAGGGGAGTCTTCATGGAGAGCTCCAGACAGCCATGATCCGAGCGGAGGCAGAGGTCAACTTGGACCTTCAGACTGCAGACCTTTTCAAGGAGAAGGCAACCACAGTGGAAGTTTGGGGCGATGTCATTCCAAGTGGCAGCGTGGAATCTGCTGATACCACAGAGAACCCATCAGCAGGTGAAGAGAGCAGGCGCTTGGGCTCCTTTGCGCGAGCCAGCAGGCGGCTGTCATGGTTTTCAGCGACCCAGGAGGTTTGTTGGGACAAGCCAAATTGGCGGGACGGCGTCAGCGGCAAAACCTGTGATGACTACCGGAAGTCATACTGTGAGTCCCAAAGCTACAGGCCGGATCGCCATCCTGACTTAAAGCCGTCGAAAGCGGTCAACCATCCGGACTTGTACTGCTGTGATTGTGGTAGATGCAGCGATGCTCCCCACTGGACAGAGCCACGACTGAGAGAGACTGCCTCACCCCACATCTAGAAATCGCAGAGGTTCAGGGCCAAGATGGGATCAGAATCAGAAAGCATTTTGTTAGGGCTGACACAACTGTCTCCTGAAATCACGCTTTCCGCTGTTCGCAATATGAGCGCAGCCCGATCCTTCGAGCCACTTTGCCCAAGGACTCAGACGGACGCGATTGTGACCATTATCGCCTTCACTTCTGCAAGGATGGCCAGTATGATGGTTCAGACCCTGCTCCACGAGTGAACCATCCTGAGCAAAATTGCTGTGGTTGCGGGCGGTGCATCGATACTGTCGACTGGACAGACTCGCAGAATCATACCTGCGATTGGTATCGTAACAACTCCCAGTGCAGCGCCGATGTCTATTTGCATCAGACAAATTCTACCAGAGCACAGCAAGAGAACTTTCCAGATCTCAACTGCTGCGGCTGCGGCAAGGCAACCGCTTACGTCCATGCGGTGGACCTGAACACGACCACTACCACGACATCCACGACGACCACCATGGTGGCCACGTTTCAAGGCTCTTCTGACTCGGCACTGAGGCGTCGAAGGAGCGTCGAACTTCAAAAGCCTTCCAGAGTGCCGACAGACCCTCGCAGCGCTTTGGACTACCTTTCGAAGGCGCCCCGTGGGGCCGGGTGCAAACGTTTCTTGCCTAACCCAGAGACTGAATGAGGTGCACATCGCGGCCCTGCAAGATGGCGGCGTTCCGCTCGAGGTTACACTTACCCCCGTGAAATGGCTGGTCAGTCTCTGCCTGAGCTTGTTGGGGTTTGATCGCATGCAGTCTGCACACTGCCAAACCTGTGCCAAGCATAGCAGGCATTACCACGTCCTGCTGTTGACTCCCTGTTCCCCATACCGGGTACCAAGCTGCCTCAGGTGGGCGCGAAGTAATTGCCAGAAGGCTCACCGCGCAGATCATTAATGTGGCAATTGACATCGAGGAGAACTTTGACGAAGGTGTACGCATCATCAATGACCTGGCTGCCGCTCGTCTAACGTACGAGCGGTGACTTTTTGCCGTGCTGGTAGCTGTCCGGGTGCAGTTCGCTCGTTTCTGCAATTTTGAATCATTTTAAGCTGGCAAGTATCTCAGGCCAGGGACAATCTGGGATTCCGTTCCTGGACCTGGGAGGTAGAGCTTTTCAATCGGCAGCAGAAGGAGTACCAGAGAGAGTACCGAACGAACCTCGCAAAGGCACTGTTTGCATACAAGACGGGGGCAGCTTTGGATGAGGTGATGGTTCTTCGAAAAAGCTCCACTTTGTTTTTGAGATCCTCCTGGTAAGGTTCCGTTTATTTTGGGGGTAGGAAAAGGGACCCTGTCAAAAGAAACTCCAGGTGAATGACATCCTTGCCCAGCACTATGCCAGCAACTTCACGATCGATCTGATCCGGAAGTTCCGCGAGGAGCAAACGGACTCTCTCAATTCACTCGCGCAACTTGTGCTGCCACTGCGAGCTGAAGGAGGTGCCACACTTGCAACCCAGTTCTCCGACTATGTTGGGCCCACAATTTCCGTGAACTATGATGCCGTGGTGGTTCTGGTTATTGCTGGCATGAACCCGGCGGCTAGCCGCGAAACAATGGTCAGCGTTCGTCGATTCCTTGCCTTCGGCCGTAAGACAGGCCCCCCAACTCACTGCTTGCGTGCAGTACAGTGGCATGCTGAGAAGGCCAACAACCAGCCGGAATGCGTTGAATCCTACAAGCTGATCGCGATTCACTTCGACTCTTTCTGCTACCAATTCTGCGCAGACAAGAGCTCGTGTTTTCCAGCAGCTCGAAAATGCAGCGACCCAGCAGCCTCAGCTTTTCTGCACTTCTCCCGAGACCGGGAGGCATGGTGTCGCAATCCGTGCACTCGTGTCATTGCCCACTACAAGCAGGGAGCTGCGGAGAGCGCTGAGAGGTTGCTGCCGGAGCTGCCAGCAGCTCCTACCATTCTCAATGTCGATCCCACTGACCAGGAACCAGATCCAGAGAATCAGCGGGTTGAAGTGTTCGTGGATGTGCCAACAGGAGCCATCTCGCTACGATTGCGAATCATTCACTACGAGTTCGTGGCCGAGACCAACAGTTGGACAACGCACCATCGCATATTTGATACCCACACGCCCGAGACAAAGATCACCGTTGGTTCCCTGATCGCCGGCAGGTACTACGCCTTCCAAGTTACTGCCGTGAATGAGATCGACGAAGGCCCATATAGCGACATCTATCCGAATGCCTCAGGTCTATTGGTAGGTATGCGCACGGCGACCATCCGCCCTCAAACTCCCATCCAGCAGCCTGACCCAATTTCGCCGCAGTGCACTGCAGCAAGCGCAAGCTACTCGCTGGTCAACCGAGCCCCCAACTGGCTGTCGTGGAACGTGCGACTGACCTTCAGCGAGCTCCCACGCAATCAGGAAAAGCCTGCAAGTGTACAGTTCATCCCACCGGATGGCAGTCCTTCTTTCGATTGCTTGGGTTTCGAACTGGAACCTGGCACTTCCTACTCTGCAACCTGCAAGATTCCGTGCAGAAATGCGAATGCCTCATCGAACTTGCATGTGATTGTGTGGGACTCCAACAAAATCACCAAGATCGCAGAGGGTGCGCTGACGCATGAGCCAATTTCGGCGATGACCTGCAGCAGCTTCTTTCCTAGCACTCCGGTCTTATGCGACGTGGCAGACGAGAGGCAGCGAAGGTGTATGGTTGGCACAATTGCCAATGGCTCCGTTTGCGATGCGTGCTATGACCACTACACGCCCAAGACCTATCGTGTGTCGGAGCACCGCTGCACAGGTTTCCAGTGCGACTTTTTCCAACGGTGGTGCCCACTGCGTGGCTGCATCACCGACTCCTGCGATGCAGGTTGCCAGTCAGGGAGCTCGGACTGGACCACAGACGCTGGAGGCACACTTTGCGCCCTGCCTTGCGAGATGTACCCAGATGTCCCATCTGTCACTGTGGCGGAGTTGACTGTACCGGCTGGTAACCATACCAAACTATCCTGCAACGTGGCGGCAGGATGGGGCCCGCTCTGGGACGAAGTTCTGGGATCACTCCGTGATGGAGAAGTCTACTTTCATTGTCCCGAGGGCAACACACGCCAAGAGTATCGAGTCAGTGAGGTTGAGCCTATTCCCGCGTGCATGCCACTCTGCCCACCGGGCACGGTTGTGGATGAAGGGCTGTCGTACGCGTACCGTGGGCTTTATCATGGTGAGGAGCTCAGTGTTGACTGTCAACCCCCGTACGAGGCCGGCACACTTCGCCTACGCTGCTTGGACAATGTGGTCACCATTCTGACCAAGACTTGCAAGGCCGGGATGTCCCTGCATTATCCCTTAGCGCAGTAGAGCAAGGCTGTCAGTGCTTTCACTGCTTCATGCCTTCAGAATGGGCGTTGCAATGTGAAGTTAGTAGCGGACAGGTGCCCCTGGCAGATGCCGAAGTGCTTTCCATGAACTTTCCGTATAGATCGGATGGCGATGGAAGCGCTTATCTCAAGACAGGATTCATAGCTGGCAGCCGCGCCTTTATTGCCAGCTCTGCGACATCCCTTCATGATTATGGTGGGATTGTCTACCAGCTCGATCTTGGCAACTTTCCCTCCGAATCCAGCAGGAGCCAGTTTAAACTAACAGACCGCAACCCTCTCTGGGCCGGATTCGGTTCGAGCTTTGGCCATGGCCAGTATGGATATTTTGTCCAGGGTCGACAAAACACCAATCCCGGATATGTCGGACGTGTGTTCCGAATTAGCCTTGAGAGCTTCAACACCGTGGCCGAGTTGGATCTCGAGGCAGCCCATTCCGAAATATTGATGGCTGAAGGAGCTTTCACCGATGGGGTGTACGGTTACGTCGGCTTCGGGCGATATCATACCAGCTACGGTTTTGCCCGCTTCTCTCTTGATAGCTTCGACAGAGCGAGCGTGCTGACTCAGAGTCTGGATGTGGATGGTATGTCGCAAATGACCGGTGGATTCGCGAGTGGTGAATATGGCTACATTTGCCAGGGCCATAGCCTTTCCCCCGTACTTGTGTTAACTGCGTGTGTGCATTCGAGGCAAGTGTCGTCGGGAGGCTGATAGGTTTAGAACCGGTGCTTCAAGTCCGCAGCCGTCGCATTCTGGGTAGCTGAGGTGGTAGCAGTGGTGACGTGGCACGCTTCAATCTTGCCGACATGTCAGAGCTATCAGTAGCGCTGACGGCGCTAGGAAGTCAAACTATGGATTGCTTCACAGCTGCTGGCTTTGGCTATTTGCTTCCAGGAAGTCCTTGGGGGCACCGAGGCGGATCGCGCATCTTCAGGTTCAGCTTGGCCAATATTACCGATATGAAGGTTGTGGACTTGGCCATCCGGGACTCAACGTTCCGTGGCTTTTTCGGCGGATTTACAGACGGAATCTTCGGGTATTTGGTCCCATACGACAACGATGGCTGGGTCAACAACGGGTACTTCATTCGCTTTGAGCTTGAGCGCTTCCACAGTGATTATGTGTCTTGGAGGCGCTTGACGGACATTGACCCTGCTCTTGGTGGATTCAAAGGAGGCTTCACAGACGGCACCTTCGGATATTTACTTCCAAGCAGACGGCACAAGCTCGTTAGAATCAGGCTGTGAATGCGATAGATCTCGCACACATATATAAAGATCGTGGTGAAGGACTCGGCACCAAAACAAAAAAGCGCGACGGAGCAGCGCAATTGCATGAATGATGTCAGTGCTAGTCCCAGTGGCCCTTGCAAGGCTTCGCTCACGCACTTTCCAACAAGCTTTGCCGGGCTCAAGCTGGCTCACCGCTAATTACTTAGACATTTTGTCATGAGAGCCTGTGGACACAATCGGGGCCGTGTTATAAGCTGCCTGCAGTGCTCACGAGTGAGGCATTCCTGAGTATCCTGGGTAGTTTGCCTGATGTACCGACCAGCGAGGCTTGCGTGCGCCCTCCGCCCAAAATTGCTCAGCCAAGCCATGGCCATGCGCGCAAGAAAATCGAGGCTACTCGCGAAGCTGCGCCCCTCAATTGCATGTCGAGTATACGCACCGAGCTGTGATGGATGTTAATGCAATTCACGAGAAAATGTGTTGAGATGCCTTCAGGCTTAATTGAGCGCATGTGGCTGCTGGGCCAACGGCTCAGACCTAGCTATGGAGAAGAGCGAAACAAGCTGTCCACGAGGCTGCTGGAGCATTTCCTAGACTCCACCTGAGAGTTCAACTGCTGATTGGGAGGACCCCCCGTCCGACTACAGGGCAGCGTGCCCCGTCATCCTTGACGGACAGATTGACTGACTAACTCGGGAAGTAAAAGCTGTCGTGCGACAAGAAAGCAGCAATGAAGAACGCATGCTTCGCCGTTCGGGTCGTTGAGACTAGAAGGTTTAGGGTTTCTGCTAGTTTCTTGAGCAGGGTATGGAAGTGCAGTCAGGAGAGCTGACCTTCCGTCCTTGTGTTCAGGCGATTGCACAAGTCCTGATGCAAAACGGTGATTCAGGTTTTAGGGTTTCTAGAAGTTGTTAAGGGTGTGGGTGCCAATGAATTTTGATTGAAACGCTGTGGGCTGGGCTAGTCTGGGCCGGGCCGAGGCTTGGGCTGGCACGCGGATGGTAAGGCTGGTCTGGGGCTGGGGCGGCAGGGCTAGGCAGCAAGGCAGGCCGGGCAGGCGGGTGGCAGGCGGGCAGGCAAGGCCCCAGGCAGGCGGCAGGCAGGCAGCGACAACAGATAGAGAAGTAAGGGGAGGTTGAGAAGAACGGAGCAGAAATTTCGTGCATGCTGTGCTTCTGAATTGCGCAGCACGTCTTTGCATGTGCAACGCGTCGATACTGCGAGTAGATTGTCTGTATATAGGGTGATATCTTGGAGGTGAGCTCTATCACGTTTTTGAGGGGGTTCTTTATAGGGATTCTGTCAACTCTATTCGGGCCTATCTTGGGGCCATTTCAGTCTTATCTTGGGGCATTTCAATCTTATCCTGGGGGCATTTCAGCCTTATCTTTGGGCCATTTCAGCCTTATCTTGGGGCCATTTCAGCCTTATCTTGGGGCCATTTCAGCCTTATCTCGGGGCCCATTTCAATCTTATCCTGGGGCCATTTCAGTCTTATCTTGGGGGTCATGTATCCTGTCGTGGTCGTTCCCTACCCCGAGGCCTTTCCTTGAGGTGCTCGACGAGCCCTTAGAAGTCGCCATACGAACCCCAAAAATCCTTCCAAAACACGCCCTAAACGCCCCAAAAGCGCTCCGAAAACCAGTGTCAGGTCGGCAGATATTTCAGCCTTATCCGGGGCGGGGTAAGAGTGAAATCCGGGGCTGCGGGTAACAATGAAATCTCGAGCTCTTCTTGGGGGAACCCAGGATTTCAGCCTTATTTTCCCGGACAGATTTCAGCCTTATCCCCCCCCCAAATAAGAGTGAAATTCTGACCGATATTTTTGCCATACCGGCACCGTTTCGGGAGCCAACTTTGGTGTGGATTTTGAAGTCATTGGCGGAGCTTTGGGCGAAACAGGACCATGACTCGAGTAGGTACTGTAGGATAAGGAGTGAAAGTGTACATGTGTGAAATAATAATGACTAAAAATCCCCATATATATAAGAGTGAAATGCACCCCAAAATAAGATTGAAGTCCCAAAAGATAAGAGTGAAATGAATCCCAGAATAAGATTGAAATCCTAAAAGATAAGAGTGAAATGAACCCCAAAATAAGATTGAAATCCTAAAAGATAAGAGTGAAATGAACCTAAATATAAGACTGAAATTCTTGTAAAGGAAATGTATTATAGCCCAGTCCTAAGTGATATCTATTTACAAAGGATGTCTGTATATAGGATATAGGCTATGTGCAATTGTCAGACAGACGAGACCGAGACCATGACGAACCCATGTGTAGACCTGCGTCGCGAGACACTCGTCATTCGCTGTACACTGGCTGAATTACCACCCCCTAGCACCCACTTCCCAGGGAACAAGGGCCTTATCAAGTATAAGCCCATTAGAAGTTCGACAGTAGTAATTCTAATGGGGTTTGGGAGCATATGGTACTGCATTTATAAAAAGGAATCCACCAAAAATTGAATTGGTAATCATTTTAAGTCGCTAGCCCTAAATCTACAAGCCCTAAATTTTAAACCCATAAACCAAAAAAACCCAAAGCCTTAAACGGATTCGTTCTTGCTAGGTGGGAGACAAAAAACCTCAAAATAGGGCAAAGCCTTAGACTCATTGGATCCGGGAGTTTCGTATAACAGGGGACCCGAATGTGGGGCTTTAAACAATAGGATTTCCTCGAGGCTTGTCCGACTTAGGACAGCATACATACCTGGATGCTTGTTATAAGGACCCTTAATCCGCACAAGGCGGGGCTCGACGTTGCTTACCTTTCAGAGGCACAGAACCTTATTGAATTCTCATTCAGCACACCTTGGATTCCGAACCAAATTGGACTATCAATTCCAAATAGGGGCCAACATAACCTCTAAGACCCGCAAAATAACTTCCAAGACATTGGAGGGCCAATATAACTTCTAAGACCCTCTAAGAGAGGCCAATGTAGCCTCCCAGACCGAGCAACCAACATAGTTTCTAAGACCCTTTCAAAAAGGCCAAGAAAGCCTCTAAGACCCTCAAAGAGGCACTAGTATAAACAACATAGTCTGACCTCTAAGATTCTTTCGGAAGGGCCAGCATAATCCTCTAAGAGAGGTCAATATAATTTCTAAGACCCTCCAATCAGAAGCCAAAATAACCCTCCAAGATGAGTAAATATGGCCTCTCCTTTAAGGGGGATTAACATAGCCTCCAAGATTTCCAATTAAGGGGCCAACATAACTTTTAAGAAGTGGGACCAATATAACTATGACCCATGAAGACCCTCTGATTAGGAACCAACGGAAGGGCCAAAATACCCTCCAAGGCCTCTATGAGGGTCCAACATAACCTCCAAACCCTTCAATAGGCATAATTTTTTTTACGATGGATCAATATAATCTCTAATATCCTTGAAAGGGGCAAGTATAACTTCTCAGATCCTCCAAGTGAAAAACTATCATAATCTCCAGGACCGTCTAAGAGGGACTAACATGCATTTAAGACCTTCAAACTAAACACCAACATGGCTCCAAGACGCTCCACCTAAAGGGCAAAGAAGCCTCCAAGGATTTTAAGATGGGCGCTAAAAACTTCCTCTAGACCGTCTGCCTTCTGCGACCCTTTTAAAGGGTCCAGCATAGCTTCCAAGACTTTTCAAGAACCAAGACATTCTGAAAGGGGGCAACATAGCCTCCAAGTTCTTTTCGTGGCGCTTACATAGCCTCCCCGCCATCCGAAGAAAAGCTAACATAACTGTAGGAAGAGCAGAATGTCCCGCGTGTCCACGCGGTCGATCTGTTCCGAGTGCTGCCCGAGCTGTTTCCAGAAGACAACCCCTGGAGCAAAAAGAAAGACAGCCAGCAAGACGGACAATGCGCAAGCTCCATGGTCTCAAAAGCAAAATCAGCGGCGCAACACGCGGGTGTAGGCACGCGCCGAGGCCACAAACAGTTCACGCGCCATCGGCTTTTTGCAAACTGCTTGTGGTCTGTTTTCATGTGCACGACAGGAGCCACAGCGCTCCTGAGCTGAAAAAGTAAAACGCGACCCCAAAATGTTGTTTGCACGATAGATGTGCGTATATTTGTGGAATCCTGCCTCGATGGGCTTCCAGGCAAATTCGCTGGGCCAGAAAATTTTGCACATTCAATGAAGCTAGAACAGCATCCGATGTTGCGTCCAGATTTGCTCGTCCTCGTCCTGGACGACATCGTTTCAGTCGATGTATGGCTCCTCCGCAGCATGCTCTTCGGCATCATCCGCTTCGCTTGCCACCCCCTATTTCTGGACTTCTGAATGAAAGAAATCTGTCAACCCTTTTGTGTTCAATAAACGAAATGTCGCAAAATGAACCGTCCAGTCTTTGTCAGGCAAGCATGTGAGTGGCAAACACAGTGTGTTGCAATGCCGGCAACACAAGGCAAAAATGATTAATACAAATCATGTGGGGGGTGGGTGGATCTAAAAATCCCCATATCCATAAAATCATGTGGGGGGTGGGTGGATCTAAAAATACCAAATATCCATATCCTCGCCTGATCCAAAATTGGTCCAAGAATCCTCTTTATGGATATTTCATATCATCTTGGGTTGAATGTGGAAGCCACACTGCGGAAGCCACACTGCATTGAGATGCGTGATTTTTTGCAGTCCAATCTTGGGTTGCTCTGTAGGTCAAAGATGTGTTTCAAAAATACAAATGAAATTTGTTTTGCATTTTTTGTGAAGAAATTTTTGAAACCGGTGTCAAAACTCGCACGGGGTTACTCGGAGCTCGTGGATCACCTGGCATGAGGCAGCGCGACATACGTGATGCACAGTTGAACAATAACAGTTTTCTGCCACCAAGGCGCGGCCATCGCCTTCGCCATGTTTTTCTCCAGGGCGTCTTCTTTGGCCTTCTGCGACCGGATGGACTTGCGATCCATTGGCCAGCTTGTGCAGTGTGCGCGCTTCTCGGCAAGCAGTCTCACGGCAGCAGGGTCGACACGCGGGTGTAAGCCCAGATTTCGCTGCTGCCGCACGCGCCGAGCCACAGACAGTTCACGCGCCTGTGCACGACGCGAATCTGCTGTTCATTGAGCGTGTGCTCTTGAGTTGAAAAGGAGTAACGCGACCCCAAAATTTTGTTTGCACGACAGATGTGCGTATATTTGTGGAATCCTGCCTCGATG